CGTAAAGTCAGCTTGGCCAGACTCTTTCTGAGCTAAAMAGACTGTGTTGGGAAAAGAAAATGCTGTCAGGACTGCGAACGTCAGGATGTAACTGCAGATGATAATGCCCTGAGGATTTGTAGTAGGGCCAAGACATCTCATAATCTATTGCTGTTTGGGCAGTAGTATACAGGGACCTCCCTCATGTTCATAATGAGGAAGGTGAAGGTACCGTCTCCTTTTGTTTGAAGCRTTTCCTAAATCTCTTGAGGAGCAAAACCAAAAGCCCTGTGGGGTTGCAGCCAAGGTTGGCATTGTTTACTTCAACCAACTTGTCCCGCACAGTAAATAGTAGCAGAATAAATCTGTCCTTCTGAAGAACCTCTGTCTGAAGAGCGTCCTAAATTCATCTTCCAAGGTAAAAGACTGTACTGGTTGGAAACTTAGGCCTGCTCTYCAGGACATTTCCTGTCAATACTTCTGGGAAAATTCCCTGCCAAACAGCAATGTGATTAAAAGCATGACAGTCAGTGACGCTGAGCTTGCTCTTGCAGCACAGGACCTTAAAAATGCTTCAGGACAGGGAACCTCAGAAGAAATTAAAATCACAAGAGAGACTGTTTCAAATTTGCCTAGAGGAGTTTTGTTTTATTTTTCTTCCCTTTGGGCACAGTTTTGTTTCTTCTTAGAGAAGAAGCAAGAAAGACAACTGAGGGAATGTATTGTCCCAGGGAGAGGTGACTATGGCATGGAGGAAGGGTAGTGGTGGGACATTATTAGGGCTTTTTTGTTTGTTTGTATGCTTTAAGGGCTATATTGCTGATGCTTCTGCTGCCATATGGTGGAACAGCTGATGGTTAAATGCTGATGCTGAAACATGATGCTGACTTAGCAGGTGCTGTAAAGCGATTGTGGAAAAAAATGATAGTGAAACACCAAATGTGAAATACCAGTGCAAAAAATATTGATGATAAACCAGCAGCTTCTGTAGTATCTCTGTTAGAAATGGTATTTCTGGCTTTGGTAATAACTAGAGCAGCCCAGAAAATGTTTGAAAGGGCAGTCTGGAGAAGTGCCAGGTGTTTGAAAAACTAGTGTTGCTACCAGTTGTTTGTTGGTAGGAGATAGTAAGCGAAGTTTCTTGCTCTTTTCTCTGTGGGGATGGACACTTCAGAAAGAAGCAAATGAGTTGTGAAGCGTGTGTTCCACCTCACAGCCGACTCAGCACAACCCGTATCAGCTCTCTGTTGGCCTTTTAGACATGTGAGGGTGGCTGGCTGAAAACCAGGAGGCTGCAAGCTRGCCATGGTGAAATAATGAGATCATCCAGCACATAAATAGTCTGTTTGCTTATTTTCCCCCCTTAATATTTCTGTCATTTTGTAGTTGTAAATATTTAGAGCAGTTCTAAACATTTAGTTGCAACAATCTTTGGCTCAATGTTTTTTTAACATGAAAAGTCATTCTGAGATGTGCTTCCCTGTCTTCTTGAAGGTCGACTTTAACCTTCTTAGCAGAGGTTCGTTGTGTTTTTTTTCAGGCACAGAAATGTCATTTTATATAACCCATGTCATTTTATATAACCCAAGTTGTTGTAGAAATTAAGGTAATTCAAAACCAGGAGAGGACTGAATTAAGTGGTGATACACAAGCTGCAAAGATGTATTGTTAGATGTTGTATATAATTGAGGCAGCTCTTTTTGGCATCAGGAGAAACTCTGTTTCTTGCAAATGGGATTTGGTGGTTATTAGCTTGTTGATTGAATGCAGATTGAATTTTTTAATAATATAAATTTGATATTATTACACTATGTAATAATTATAGAATTATTTCAAGAGCAGCTACTGATCAAAGGTGCTGCAGTACGTTTGGGTAGTGTAATGGAATAATTGTAACCATTGGTATGTAATAATTGCAAAAGAGAGGGCAGAATCAGCACCTGTTCAGCTGCGAAATCTGATCAGAAGCCATTGGTCCACCCAAAAAGTATAGGTATGCAATGGGGAGGGACACATGGGTGTCTGTCTGCTACCATCCTTTGCACTCAGGTGGAGATCCATGGGCAGATGGGGAGTATTCCCTGGTTTATAGAAGGGCAGAAAATGTTGGAGAGAAATTCAGCAGAAAGGGAAACRGTTGGGAAAAGCAGAGAGCTGCCATAACTGAGAGCTGATACAGAGCATGAGAATCATTTACTTAAACATTGACATATAGTGCTGTTTTAAATACCTGTAGGCACTAGAGATGTCTGCAAGGGACTGGCTGATGAGATGCAGCACCCGAGGGAGACCTGCAGCCTGCTCGAGAGGGGACAGGTCTCCTGTAGGGTCCTTCTTCATCCGCACCCTCAGGCACCTGAAGGCTTCTTAGAAGGCACTGCACGCCGGTRGTTAGATGCAGGAGTCACCTCCAGTAGTCTTCTGTCATCTAAGCATAGCTTGTCACAGCAAAGAACTCTCTATATTCAAGCAGAGCAGGAGGGGAGGCAGAGAGGTGTTTGTTTTCAGCTCTTTTATTCTGTTTTGTGCGTCAGATCTCGTAGATCTCATTCTAGTTCATGTTTAGAAATCCCCAGTCTTTGTTTCAAGGAAAAGGTCTGAGCAGCCCCCAGGCTCCAGTTCGCCGGGTCTGACCCGGTGAGCGGTGTGTTGAGGAGTGAGTGCCAAGTCCTCTGGCAGCAAAGGCAGGGAGGTGAAGGGCTCAGTGGGCTGACCGAGGAGCTACCGGGGAACCGAACACCAGCTCTGGATGGCAAGAGTGGAGTTTTTAAGAGATTGCGGCTCTTATCCTGAGAAGCAGTGTGAGCCCTATCAGTTTGATGTGAGGAGTAYAACTGTTAACAACACATAGGATCTAGCCTAAGTCTCAAATTCGGGTAGATGTGTGGGAAAGCAGGCATTATCACAGCTTTCTTCTAGACACAGTGACAAACAAAAAAAAGTCATTGCAATCAGATTCGTTGTTTTATGGTAAGCTGTATTAGATGTAAGTTTGGTGGGTGTCTGTGCAAAATTCATAGCTTTGCTGATTCCACACRTGGCAACTTTTTCCAAGACCAAATGCTTCACGTGAAGTTCTCCACAGAGACAAGGAGGCTCCGTGCTACCCGCTTGTTTCCTTGGCAGGAATCAGGGACAAAGCATCAAACAAAAAGATCACTAAGGAATAGGAACTAGAATCTGCCAGCAGTTCAGACCACAACAGCTAGCTGCAGCATCCAGCCAGATGTTGATAGGAACGCAGAAATCTCTAGAACAGCAGTGCGGAGCCTTGGGGAATGATTGGAACTATTGTCCCTTGGAAAGTTCATTCCAGTGTGAAAGCTAATGTTTAAATCAGTTCTAAAAATGTTTTTGAAAAGTAATTTGCACCCTGGTGATTTGGGAAGAGGTTCAGTGTTTGGTACCTAATAAAGATAGCTGGTATTGGAGTGGATGTTATTTTAATTATAACAACATGGTGATGGCATTTTCAGGAAGGGATCCCACAGAGTTCTGACTGCAGGCATTTCTCTATTCACAGCATTTAAACAGCTGCCAAAGGGGTTTCATTAATAGGTTATTTGGATACAGTGGAGGCAGGATTATGCCGCACTATCACTGCTTCACAGCCCTTCTTTCGCTTTCCTGACTTCCTTGGGAAGATGAGTCGGGCAGATTTGGCCGGAGCCCGAGCCTCRGATTAGGAAGCGAGGGAGCGAGCGGTGAGAGCCGGCTGGAGCTGCGGCTGGTTCTGCGGAGCAGGGCRAGCACCACGGCCCTTCCTACCCATCCGGATCCCGGAGCACGGTGTTTGCAGGGTCTGCAGGTGTGCGCCTGCTGATGCCGTGAAACCCTCACTGTGTTTGTCATGMGGCTGGCCAGGGGGACGAGGAATCTCCAGCACCGTGACCCAAGTGAAGGCGCCCTCCCCACCCCTTGTTTTTCAAAAAACAAGCCTAGAAAAGCTCAGGATCCTGCTCAAGAGTATGAGCTGGGACAAGGCGTTCCTGTGCACTAGCTTTTTACGTGTCTGCATCTGTTGCTAGAAGTGAGGGGTAACGTGGCAAGGTTCCCTGGAGTCAAACTGGGGCAAGGGGAGAATCGAGCCCCGCTGCTCATGGAGTCGCTTCCACAGTGAAGGARCATCTTGTGCACGACACATCCGTGCTGCCACATGGATAAGGAAGGAATTCCGGGAATACCCAAGGCATATCATCGCATGCCACGATYCTCAGCTCAATTCATCTATGTACTCACATTGCTTAGAAGGTTTTGCAAGTGTTTTACCATCCCAGCCAGATTGTGGTGCTCCATCTTACATACATTAGAGTCTCTAACCAACAAATCTTTATGTGGAAAAAGTGAAAATAACTGTGTAAATCATCATCAATTCTTTTTATTATTCATTAAAATAACATTAATCATAAACCTCTTTGGTATTCATGTGGATGTAATATGAGGTTCCAAAGGAATTATGGATTAAAGGGGACTTAAGCTCAGAACACTCAGTTCTCTATGAACATGCTGTGTTCATTATGCTAGATTTAGTGTGAACTATTTTCTTCTGTATTATTAGAAGGGAGTAATGGTTGAGTTCCGCATTTATTTGAAAGTGATTAAAGTAAAATTTTCACCTTGAATAAAACAGCAGCAACATATTAACAATTTTTATCATGCCCACAAAAGAAATCTCTTCTCAAAAGATTGGAAATAATCCTCTGAAATCTACCTGCAGCTGATTATATTAACCCATGAGAAATACACGTTTTCCACCTCTATGGATTTTTTTTTAACTTTACGCTGTTGAGATTACTAATATCTCTGCGACTCACATGCACCTAGGGGTAATGTTAGGATCACTGCACATTCACTCCTCAGCTTCTGACTTCTGAAGGCCTTACATTAAAATTCTAAGACTCATTACTGATGTAAAAACCAACTGGTTTATTGAACATTACATGTCTGGCCTTGTGTCTGCATGGTACTAATTAAAAATCCCAACATGTTTACCATCAGGAAACTCTAAAATGTGGTATGGATGTGGATACGGATTGAGGATTTTATCCAGTTTCTCTGTCTATAAACAAGAGATTTTTTTCCAGGTAACTTTATGAGTTTAGAGGTATTTACAGAAATATTTCTGTGATGAGTTTGCTAGGTCAGTTTCTATTTAAGCCACAATTCTACACTGCGGTACTTATCAAATGAGATTTAGACATGATGGCTTTGATGATTATAGATATCTAGATTTAGATTATAGGTATAGAGATAAAATTATCGCAGGAGTTCTGAGTATGGAGAATAGAGACTATTCCTGCCCTGAATCTACCATAGAGATGGTGGCATTTACTTTGCAAAACACTAACCTTACCTTGAAGGTCAGAAAACCTTCCAGGTGCCTGATAGACTCGTATTCCACCACTGAGCTTTCCTGCTTAAATGGAGATTTCCATTAACATCTTGACAAGATAGCTTACACGGCCATATTTTTTCAGGCAATAGAATGCTTTCTCTTTTGTATTAGCAAAGTGTGTGTAATCCTTAAGTGTGTGTAATCCTTAAGTGTGTGTAATTAAGAAATAAGTTAATCTTAATGTCAACTGGCATAAATCCTGTGAGGAAGAGGGCTCGATTTTCCAGGGCACTGGAACACCTTCGTTTTCCTTTGGTCTCCATGTCCTTCTCACTCTCATGCAGCCTAATCTGAGGTCAAGAGAAGAGGTGGTTGCCCCTGCCTTGCAAGCACGGGGCTTCGCTTCAGCATCTCAGCACGTTTGATTGATGGTCACCAGATGCTCTGAACTTGTCCTGGTTGCTCTGACCTGTCCTTGCCCTCCACAGTGCAGCTTCTTTTGACGTCTTCAGGTAACTCTTGAGGTATTTTTCTCTGTTATGAATTCCTAAGGAACGTGAAAGATCACTGCTGGTGCCACAATTGTTCTTCACCATCTCTCACATCAGATATTTAAATCCCTGACCAAAGCTGTGGCTTCATAGTCTAGCTTAACTTTGCATCATTAAAACTAGATTTTATTTTTTTTTAAATCTTATAATACAGAGAAAAAAAAAAAAGAAAAAAAAAAGGCTTTGACATCTCCCTTATTCAAGAATTGGTAAAAATTGGAAAAGAAAAACTGAAGCAAGTTGCTGAGGAGCATACAGTACCAGAAACTGAATTTAGGTCTCCCAAGTGTCCATACCAATGCCAGGGTCAATTTAAAAATTTCACGTTTTTTTCCCATTACTTACCCGCCCTTAAGAGTTTTCCTTTTTTCACTATTTCTTTTTTTTTCTCTCCCTTCTGTCAAGGTAGTGTACAGTTTGATCTAAGTACGACTTCATGTTCTACAAAAATATTGAAAGGCTGTGGGACACAGTGTATTTGCAAAACACAGTGCTATTTTGCAAGATAAAACAAGGAGTAGGGCTAAAGTTAACAGATTTTTTTGTTGTTTGTTTGTTTTTGGAAGAGGGAGAGTGGTTGAGGGTTGGAAACATTAATTTTCAGCTGACTTAGCTCTTTCAGTAGCAGTCCAAAATGTGGTCTTGAAGCAATAATCAAATTAGCAGAGCTAATGGTGCTTTGCTCTCATATGCTGTTTATAGACACCAGAGCAGCACTGTAGCTTTGCTCTCATATGCTGTTTATAGACACCAGAGCAGCACTGTAGCATGGTCCTGTTCTGAGGGGCAACTTCCAATGCTATGTTCTGTTACAGGCTTTTAATCACTTGTTTCCCATCATCTGCTCTTATCATAAGTAAGAAGGGAAAGGTGCCAAGATGCCTTTGATTCAGCTGTAGTTTCTGGCAGGGTAAACTTGATACAGGGTGCTGCACAATATCCTCAGCAGAGCAATGAGACAAAAAAAAAAAAAAATAAGGTGCAAGATGTTTGTATTTGCCCTGAACTGCCCCTGGTTCATTCCCATGAGCATCTTTCATGTTCATAAAAGATTCGGGGTGGGTTATCTTCTGAAATAATTAGTGTTACGTGCATCTTCCTTGCCTTCTGCTCTACTCCTACCATTGCCATCCTCCATGTGCTGCTCACTCTTACTAGTAGCAGAAATTTTTAAAAACCAAATGGAGAGGCTTTCACCTTCCAGTCTCTAATCTGGGTGCTATATCARTTTTCTGATTATCAGGAGAGGAATGAATAAATGGAGCGAGTGAAAAAGCTCCTGGAGCTAGAGAGTCCAAAAAAAAATGAAGAAAAAAAGCTTCCTTGATGAAAGATCTTTACTGGGCATGGCGGGAATTTGCTGCAGGGAATGGTAAATCTCATGAGTATTTGGACTGCAGGTGGGAGAAGGGAAAGAGCTGAATTCCAGATCTGCAGATCCCCCCAGGCCTGCTGGCTCTAACTCCTTGGCACCTATGGAGCTCAGTGACACAAGAGGCTGGCCAAGGAAAGGTCTGTCAGGAATAAACATCTTCATCTTAAATCACTGCARATACCTGATTTTGCATGTCACTTGCAAACTCCATTTTCCAGTTTTCAGTGTAGACCCTCTGAAGTCTATAAAAATAGAAGTAAACTGCAGAACAAGAAAAAAAAAACTTTTAAAAAATTGCTAAAATGATGTACAAAGAGAGAGAGAGAGAGAAAATGACCTTTGGTTGGGCATCCAACAGTGCAAAGAAATTCTAAAGTAGTTTACTTTGAAGTACATTTCAGTCAGAGGGATTTTCTAGCAGTAAAATCAGGCACTTAGCAGGGATTGCATATAATTTTCACTCTGTGCTAGTATAAAGCTTCAAACATAATGATTTTTTTTCTATTCAGCACCAATAACTAAAGCTCTTGGCCATTAATGACAACTCATTCTTCACCTGCACTCTTTGAACTACATTTGTCATCTACTTACTAGCCTTTAAAAGATCTTAACCTGGTTCTTTATCTTGTGCCTTGTCTTTCAGATTCAGAGCCATTTCCTCTGTAAGTGACACACCTTAGGAGCTGACATTTACATAGGACTCAGGAAATTTTGTTAGGAATGCTTTTTGAACACATTGGTTGTAATTTTTCGTGCTGCAATTACATTTTAGTTCATTGCTTATTTTAATATTCCATTAGGAATATTGGGGTCAGGGGTTAGGGGAGTTGTTTGCTTGTTTTGTGAAGACTTTTTTTGGTTTAACACCAAAATGTTATGCTAGATACAAGGTGGAAAGATTCACCAAGAAGGTAACCAGTTTGACAGAAAAGCTCTAATGAATTTTACTAGAAAATCTGTAGTTGGTATCTCCAAAATGACTTAATTTAATATCTGGTTGAGGCAGCCAAGCAGAAGCTGGTAGCATCCAGTCATCAACGAGGAGCAAAGCATCTTTTCAGGATGTGAAATGGGGCCATCTGAACACTTAGCAGCAATTATTGATGTGTTTGTCGCTTGTTTTGGTAAGGAACTGTGTACAAAAGGAGGTGGAGGCACCTCTATAGGARCTGTCATATCAGAAAAGTTAAATGGTCCCATTTAATCTGCGGTGGCATCCTCAAAAATGGCAAATGTATCCAGTCTAAACAGTAACTGCAAACCTATTCCTGAAGGGAAGAGATACTGCTAACCAGAAGCTTGGGCTGTGATTAACATGAATTCTCTTGGTGTTCCTATTATTTCATATTGTGTTTTACCTTGAGAAATGCTTTGTGTTTTAACGACTAAGAAATCCTGCATTTGGTTCATGCAGCAGTCGCTGTAACCTTGAGCGATGCTAATACAGGAACCCAAGCCTTCCTCCCACTGAAATCAATGGAAGTTTTGTCAGTGACCTTAATACCCTTTTAGAGGATTCAAAAATAAACCAAAGATGTAAAAAACATAATATTTTTCATGAGAGCTATCGTTTTGTATTTTCTTTCAGGCTTCTGTAATGCTTTTTGAAAAAAGGTTACTAACCCGAAACCAATGCAAGTTAAAAGAAGGCAGGTAGAGGGCTAAGTAAAGGGTAGTTACGAACATATGGCTGATAGGATTATTTTTAGAAATGAAATATAAAGATGTTGAAAAGATAGGCAACCAGTGCAAACTAATGTACAATAAATTGGAAAAGCCTCATAATCAAATATTTATGGCTCTCTTTGCAGTGTTTGAAAAATTAAATTATTAAAAGCAAATATTGTGGCAAATAGGTTCCCATCCATCTCAATAAAAGTTACATTTCACTATCACTGTCACATTATTACTTTTTTGCTTTCAGTCTCTTCAAGATTGAAGAGAACGGTAACAAACTCCAGTAACAAATCAAAGCTTTTCAATGTAATTTACTTGGTGAGTAATTTCTAATTGATTCAGACGGATGGGGCTGCACAGTTTGATGTATTGCCGGAGCGCGAGATACTTTGGAYGAAGTGAATTTATAAGCACCTCTTCTCCAAAGAAAAATGGCTGCTATATTTCATTTTGACATTTTTTTTTTAGCCATACCAGGGCTGGCACATACCTCTCTATGAGCACGTTCCCAAGAAGGGAAAATTCCCACGCGGACGCCCGGGCTGAGCCCCGGTACAGCCGGTGGGAGCGCGCAGCATCTTCTCTCCCTGCATCTTCTTGTCTTCTTTAAAGCAGAGTTGCTAAGCAACATAATTTAGTCACCTGCAGGTCAGGGTTCAGATCTTGTTAATGTCACTGCGAATTAGAACGAGGAAATGACTTYGGGGGGTTTACGGCTTCCTTGTGACATTGCTGTTAGCTGAGAAGGGTTGGGTCCTGTGTGCTGGGAAACCTTGCCTGTATGCTGGGCTTTTCAYGTGGTTGTTTCCGTACGTATTCTGCAACGTTTCTGAAGCGAAGAGGGGAAAGGCGACTGATAAACGAGTCGTTATTTGCTACSTACGTCACTCACAATAAAGGTCAGAAGTGGTGCATTCGCATGCAGCGACAAATTGCTACYGCTTAGAGCGTGCAGAACTCCAGAATGGAGAAGAACTGCTGACTGTGCCAGTCCCACTTGGCCCTCCCGTCTCTCCCACATTTGGGAAGGTTTGGGGAGGCCGGAAGCAGCTACCTCTCCATGCACGCCTGCCGCTGTCTTTTCCAAAGCAGAAATCCTTGAAGGCCAGTGCCTCAGGGGAGCAACCTACGTATAGCAACTACAAAATTCATCCTGATTTTTTTTGTACTCTCTATCCTTGCAATTTCTTGGGTGTCATTTGCTTCTCTCTGTTGCTCTTCTCTTCCTTCATTGCACCTTTGGTCCTGCTCAGGTGCAGCTGGGATGCTTCCCAAGACCTCCCGCTTAGCTGATCCCAGGGGATGCCAGGGCTGCTGGCTGGTTAATCCCAAACCTGCGAGCGACGCGGGGTCATGGAGCCTTGGAGAAGCGRGGGAGCTGCCTAACCTCCCGGGAAGGTGCCGGGGATGCTGCACACCCATCAGGTCTGCCGAGCTAATCGGGCAGAGCCGGGAGGCTGGGGCTGCTCTGCGAGGCTGCGGAGCGGCCGAGGCTCGGGAAAGCAAATAGGATTTATGTGTGCTGTGGGWGTGGAGGAGAAGCTTTGCCACTCTGAGAGAAATATTTGTGTAGAGCCGTCCAAAGGGGTTTTCCACTTCATTGGCCTAAGCAGATGAAAGGCAAGCATGCCTGCATGCATCATATATACAAATATATACGTATATATATGTGTGTGTTTATCATCATGGGTCAAGGCAAAATTGCTTATTCAATCCAAAATAAAATATTCTATTTCATTTTAAGGTTGATATTTTTTTTTCTTACCATTTTAAAATAAGATGTTTGCATTGTAAGTAAAATATTATTGAAAAAATTAGGAGCCAAAATATTTCCTTTGGAAAACATTGGTATAAAATATTTTGCACATACTAGAAATATTTTTTTCATTGCTTTGAGCCAAAACAGGTTTTTTCAAATTCAACACGAATTCACGGCTCACAGTCTTCCTAAAATAACATTTCTTGGCAAAATAATTTTTCCCTATTTTTTTTAGCCAAAGCTTGTGTTTGATTCCCTGAACAAAGCAGTTTGCGTCGCTCTCGTCTCCGTGGTGTGGAACGCTGAGCGGGTGGCTCCATCCCGCCCCAGTCCTCGCGCCGTCCTTGCTTTCCATGCGCTTTGCAGATAAGCCGTGCAAGGGGCTGCAGTTGCACTCAGCGTTCACAAACACTAGCAACCCCCGGATCATTTGCAAGGGTGATTTGTAGCGTGGAGTTCATTAATCTTCCGCTGTGGCTGTTCATTATTTGTGCGATGTGACTAGTCACACGTGGGGCCGGGTTGCCAGTTTCTGAAGACCCGCGTGGCTCCACTGATGGGCAGAGGAGGCTGTTCCCAGGCACTGACGRGTTGGATCCCGGCACGGAGCGTCTTCCTACCTGCTCTTTGGGCTTTGCAACAGGCTCCCAGGTAAGCAAGCTCTTTCTGGTCCCCTGCTTGTGGAAACACGTGCTGTCTCGCACACACAGGCTACTGCAAGCAGCTGCTCGCTAGCCCATGCTGAGACAGCAACACAGAAATAGCAAAAGTAGAAACCTRGAAACATACATTTTGTTTATTCAGGTGACTTCCCAAATGCAAAGGCGATCCTTTCTCTGATGGCTGTTTCAGTATTTCAGAAATGAGCCCGTATCTGCAGCTGCACCTCCTGCAAAAACCCCAAGTAGTGACAGCAACATTATGTGGGGGCTGGCCTCGCACATAAAACCCGAGTGATACTAGAAACTATTATTTACAGGGCTGGCTATAACACACGTCAGGGAGTCAGGATGAAGATTTCTTAAAACTGAGCCCCRTGAAGGACCAGGGACAAACTGCCAGCTTGGAGTGAACTCACAGACGGAGACCAGGGTGTGCAACATAAATCCATTGGCAACGGGGAATTTAACCAGTTTTCCCAAGTTTTCATTCAGAACTGGATGGGCCTAAGCAGCAATGTGCAGGAAAGCATCTTGCAGGCCCGCCACCACATGGTTTCACTCCAGAGACGTTTCAGCTTCTTTGCCAAATGTGGGCCCTTGCGAAACYTGTTGGCGTGTGAGATGTAAATCACTCGCCTCCCCTGGCAGCTCCCGTCAGGGGGGCTAATGGAGAACTCTGGTGTGCTGGGAAGCTGGTGAGATAGCAGAATGGCAATTACAACTGAGAGGTGAGGGAGATTTCCTTCCAGGCTCTCTCCTGGTTACTGCTGGCATTGCGGCTTTACGGCAATAATGTTGCCCGGATTGAGCCAATTTCTAGTTTTAGCACCTTGAGCCTCTGGCTGGCACTAATGAACATAAGACCACCCTTAACCTATGGGAGGGAGGTATAGATTTAGAAGGCTGCGGAGGTGGATGGTCTTTGTTCTTCCTAATTTTTCCCCTGCCCCTCTCTACTTCTTCCCCTATCTTTTGGCAAGTAAATTATTGCTGATAACGATACTTGGCACTTACAGGAGGTGAAACTTCGAAGCTTTTAATCCACAGATCTCAAAGTGCTTTATAAATACTGCATTTCATGACTGTTTTTGGAGTTAGGAGTAAAGCTGGAGGAAAAGGAAGTTACATAGTTTGCCAAATGATATGTGAAAAGGCAGTAGCAGAGTTCAAAGCAGAACCCAGAGGCCTTCCCTGCAGCCCTTTGTTGCGTTTCTAGACAATACATATACTGTTCTTTACCCTTAAGAACACATCCCACTCATTTTCAGAGCAGTCAGGTGTTTAGTTGCGATTATCATCTCTCAACCACTAGAAATCTGGGGTTCAAATGAAAGAAGTAAGGGGAGTACAGATTATATATATACTTTTTTTTCTACTTTTTTTGTTGTTGTTTTGGTCTAGCATTGCTCTGGAGCCATCCAAACCTACTAGCCACCTTGCTGTATAAGACTTTTGTGCTCAGAGATGATAGTAAGATGCAGGTTTGGCACGAGGGCCTGACATCCCASCTTGTCATTTGCCGCATGTGCCTGGTGCACCAGGGTTTCTGAAGCCACATAAAATGAA